CGCCACCCAGTCTGACCACAGCGCAGCCCAGACCACTGCTATGAAGAGCTCAGCATGGCCTTCCCCTTCCTCTGCTCCTGCCCCCACCTCCTGGGATATGGATGGGGGGGCAGGCTGGGGCTGGAAGGCAGCACTGCACTCTTCACAGTGGCAGTCTGGGCTGCGTTGCTGTAGTTGGGACAGGCAGTGGAGGTGCTGGGAGGGGGACTATGGTGAATTTTCAGGTGCCTGCAGCCCTCTGAGCAGCCCCACTCCCAGTGCCGCCCGGCACACACAAGTCCGAGCCTGCAGCAGCAGCTGGCTGGCCAGCGTGCAGATCTGGGGACACGTGCCCACTGTGCCCTCCCAGGGTGCATGCCCCATGCTCCCTGCAGCCCTTGGATGAGCCGCTCACAGCTCTGTCCTGCACCCCACCTGTGCAGGGCCTGCTTCTGCCCCACTCCCTCCCAAATAATTTTTTCTTCCTCTGCCCTGATCTGCACCCCCCATTCCCTCCTCACGGACTTACCTGCTGGGTGGGGGGGTGGGGCATGCACAGTAGATCTTGGGTTTCTTTTAAATGCCAAAGGTGATCTCCTACTTAAAGAGGTTGGAGACCACTGTCCTACACCCTTCTACACATAATATTGTAACATGAACAAAAAAAAAAGCAATGCAGCCAGGCAGTTTGGTAACAATTGAGTTTATTTGCAAATGCCAGCACCTCACTGCACAATATCAATTCATTTCCTAGGATGTTCATAATATGTATCCAGAAACCCCTTCTACACTCCTTTGTCTGCATCTTCAAAAAAACCCAATAAAAAAACCCAAAAAAATAATTGCTGCAGAAACACTTCCTGTGTAGTCCAAGTGTTTCCTCCTAGATTTTACTTTCAATTTTATATTTATCTTCTAAGATTGACACAGTTGCTAGTGCTCCATCATATTCTTGAGCAACATTTTTCTTCCTGATTCCACCATTTATTATAATTTATCAAATTGTTTATGCTTCCTCTCATTTTCCATTGCAACCCAACCAAACCAACAATAGCATTGATTATGTGCATACAGAGAAGTGGCTTGTCGCATCACTTCCTGGAGGCAAACCTATAGGAAGTCCTTGTAGGTGCATAGCAGAATAAAGAAGTTGACTTTGCATGATGCAGGTGGCTTTGTTTCCTTCTGATGTTTAATTTCTTTGGATAAGAAAGTGCTGCCAGAAGGGATCTTACAAGGTCATGTAGTCCAGTCCCCTGCTCAAGGCAGGATAATCCCTGACTCAGTCATCCCAGTCAAGTGTCTGTTCATCCTGCTCTTGAAAACTTCCCAGGATGTAGATTTCACAATTTCTCTAGGCAGTCTGTTGCAATGCTTGATCTCCGTCATAGTCAGAAAGTTCCTTCTGATCTCCAACCTAAATTTTCCCTGCTACAGCTTGAGGCCATTGTTCCTAGTCCTGAACCTATTCTGAAATTGCAGTTTAATGAAAGCCCCATGAAAATGAAATAGTTAATGGTCAGGTGTTGAAGTGAAAAAAATGTCCTCTCCAGAAGGAAATTATATATATTTATTAAAAATGATGTTTCAAAAACTTGCTCAAATCAACTAACATTTATTAAACTAAAGAACAATTTAGGTTAAACACCATTCCAAAACACATTTAACCATCTTCATTTCAAAAGTATTTATTGTTAGGGTAACACTATGTGGATTTTTGGGGAGCACTGGATCTGCAGCTGAATAAAGGCATGACCTGTGGCCTAGCAGAGCTGCTGACCACAAGGCAGAATGATAGCTAAGCCATCCATTTGCTTATGCTAAATAACCATCTTAACTGTGTCAACCATTTTCTGAGGAAAAAGCAGCAAGTGAATCTGTGTGAGTCTGTGTGCTATGAATGAGGTGACATTTTAGGAATGTGGAAGATGGTACAACCTGAGACAGAAAAACAGATTGGAATGTGAAAAACAGCACATAATTGGTAACAGAATCCAAGATGAACATATGCAAAAAGGTGAATGGTGATTGGTGAAGAAGCTTCCAGGTTTTGGTCAAAGTCCAAGTCCTTGACTGAAGAAAAGGAGTCAATGTCTTAGACATGCGCTCATAGCAAAAAGACATGTAGATGAACGAAATGCATAGCCAATTCCATGCTAATCAAATAAACAGTAAACAGAGGAGGAACTTGAGATGGGAGGAGAAATGGGTGGAACATAGGAGGAGTGAGGGTAGAATGAATGTTAATGAGCATAAACCCAAGTGTATAAATGTGGAAAAAAACTTGTTCAGTGCTGCTCCCCTTGTTCATAGACTAGGTGTCTATTAGGGAGCTCGCCCAAAGTTGTCTCCATTCTGAATAAAACTGTTGTGAGCAATGTGTGCTCGTGTTTGCTCCCTGCCTGCTCTGGCTAATGAGTACCAGGATCCACGAGCAATTGGACTGTCATCTCCCTAGTCGTTGGGCGCCGCATGGAGTCGGGATCTAACATCTATTGGCTCACATCAGCTACAATTCTACTTTAAAAGTAATATATCTCACTGGGAAATGCTATCCAAGGTTGTTTTACTTTCTACAAAGGCACCTGTGGCAGTCACTACAGACCAAACAAAGAATGCTATCCAATTCCAAACTTATCCTATGGGATGTCTTAAATGTCAGTTGAACGGAAAACTGCAAAGCAACCCAAAACTAAGCCAACATATTGCTCAACAGACAAATGGTGATCAGTTCTGGTGCTGTAGGAATAAGGCATATATCTTCGGTGGGAAAGAAAACTTTTATGGGACCTTTAAACGAGTATCTTCAAATGCCTCTGAATGAGATGCTGCTGATTCTTATTACAATAGTCTTATACACCCTTCCAGGCATTGAAAGCATGACCCCATGTACATTTAAAATCAAGGTAATGTTTCTGGGGTCTCTGTAACTAATCATAACAATCGTTTAATCATTTGAACTTGTTTTAGATACAGAGGAAGATTTTAACAGCTGGGTGACTTGCATGGAATTAAGTTTCAGAAATGGCAGATGCTTAAACTATAATCACAGAGCTTATCAACAAATAGAAGACTCCAAATGACACACCACAGCCTTGAAGAATGGATATTTATCCCTGTGGAGTATTTTACATTACCACATTGTTATACTAATTACAAATACTACAGTAAACTTCACAACTGTGATAACAAATATCTATTTTTTAAACTAAGCTCACTGTCTCTTTGTCTAGAAATAAAATATTAAAAAGAGGAAATTCTGCAGTATGTTCCAAATTCAGGACAAGCAGGGTTCTCTGCCTTGGATACGCTTCTTACCACACATTCAAGACCATGTTGACTGACTATGCTACCTAATTTCCAGGTGTTTGTGTATTCTTGATGCAAAAAATATTCATTGTAATAGCAATTTACACATTTCTACACATGATTAACAAAGGCAATTTTCTTTACAACAATCTTGAATAGTTATGTGTAATCCATAGTTCCAGAAGTGTATGATTCTTTGCCCACAGGCGATAAACAGTCAACAATATCATAATGTATTACTAAGGATTTTGGTTTCGTTTAAAAATCCAAAATTCTCTGATAAAAAATCCAAAATCCGTGTTTTTCTGAGATTAAAACAAAACATCACTATATAATATAGTATCAGCTGAACACAATGTTTTATTAATATTTACAATTTTAAAGCAATTTGGAAGCCTACCAGTGCTTCAATCATAATAATAAAATAAATTCTATATACCTATACATTTTAGCATTTGATTTTGGGTTTTTTTAATCATAGCAAAATCAGAGCTGCTTCTGCCCCCTTCGCTCACCAGGACATGGGTAGAGCTGCCGCTGTTCTCCCCCACTACTTTGTGGCGCTGAGCAGCCCTGATATGCTGTTGCCCCTCACTCCCAACCCACAGCCCCCACCCCATGCAAGACCTGCCTGTGCCTCTCGTTCCAGACCCACATTCCCCCATCCCTGCCGGTGCCTTTCGCTCCTGACCCACAGTCCCCTGCTCCCTGAGCCCTGTTCATGGCCCTCACTCCCGAAGTGCAGCTCCCTGGCCCTGCTGGTGCCCCTCACTCCTGATTCACAGCCCCCTGGCTCCGCTGGCGCCCCTCAAGCCCATACCCAGTCCCCTAACCATGCCCCCCAGCCCTGCTGGTGCTCATCACTCCTAACCTACTGGTCCCCCGCCCCCAGCCTGCAAGGAAGGTGTGGGTGTGTGGGGATGGGGGCAAAGGCAATGCGTCGGGGGGTGGGGAGCATAGATGACATGTGGAGGGTGTGGGGGGACCCAAAGGCAACGTGTGGGGATGCTCATGCCCCCCCAGATTTCTGCGCCCACAGCAGGGCATGAGGCTGCAGCCTGGCTGAACAAGCTAAAGGCAGGAACTGCCTCCACAGCCCAGCAGGTGGGACCTGGTGTGGAAGGGATCGCTGCACCACCATGGACACTGAAGTGAGGTTTGGCAGCAATGTGGATGTCTTCCTCTGGCTGCTGCTGGGTTGGCAGGGGGAGTCTCACCTTGGTGATGATTCCTGCACTGGGTTCTGCCCACTGGACTGTAAAGGCAACTCCTGGCTGGAGCTGATCTGGCCAGGCTGCAGCCCCACGTCCCACTATGGATGCAGAAATCTGGGGGGCCCTGTACACCCCCGCAACATATAGCCTGTGCCCCCCGCCCCAATAGACTTACCTACAGAGAGCTGCGGAAGCCGTTCTCCACCACACTGCCTGGCTGCCCCCTGCATGTGCGCACACATGTATACCTGGTACTCCCTGCATCTCACTCCCCCAGCTCCAAAAAGCCCACTGCAGGCTGAAACACTGCCAGTCTGCAAGGGGGAACCTGTGGTTTCCTGGGTTTTTTTCCTTTAAGAGGAGAAAATCTGGGTTTTGCCACATTTTTTCCATGGCAAACAGAAAGCCCAGATCCCTGATTATGATAGTATTATTTGTTATTGCTCAACAAATCAGATAAAGTTATTAATAAAAATAGATTTCACACAAACAAGCAGGTATTTAGATGTCCAGGTCATTATGATTTTATTTAAAGAAAAAAAAAGTATTAGGTCTTCATGCAACATGTGGTTGGATCTTAAATAATCATGACAGCAAAAGTAGTTAAGGAAAGCACTAAATACGGACCTAAGTGGACATAAAAAAACCTCAACATTATAGGTTATACAAAGTAGAGAACATCTTAAATACTTTCCCAAAATACTGCAGCAGCCAAGACATAGTGATATGCCTTACATGGGCATAGGAATGTAATTTAAAAATCACACAGAAACAATCCATTTCCTTTAAATTCACTGAGCAACACAAAAGCAACATTCAACTTCACACACTGATTTTACACAGAATTTCTATACAGTACCTTCACTTATTGAAATAGCAAAATTTAGACATTTCCTTTATTTGGTAAACAATTATATGGTAAATCTCCATTACATGTTTTCCTTGATTTTACCTGGAGTAGTCATATTATTTAAAAGAGGGCAGGTTTGGCACTTTTATACTGATGTCACCAATATTAATATTTCTTGGGATCTCTGGAAGATTCATATTCTTTACAGCTGACACAGCCCGTGCAGGGGCTCCTGCTAAACCAGCCTGTATATAGAAGTAAAAAAAAAAAAAAATACAACTCAGGTGAAGCCCATCACAACAATCACCACCACCACACACAGAGAAAAGTTATGTTAAAATTATTTTCATGGTTATAAGATTAGAAAGATCAGATGACAGTTTCAGTTGGAATGAAATGAGTTATTTGGAGTACTAAACCGGGAAGTAGAAACAGTTCAAAACATTCTAATAAAATGGATACATGTTGTGCCAGCTCGATGAGAAATATGAGGGGAGGAAAAATCCCAAACCATATAATATGCAGATTGTAAAAGAAATAGCATATGGTTACTTAAAGTCAATTGGCTGTCTTTGATTTTTACTGATCCCAAAGAGAGTTGCTTATATGGCACACAACTTCAGTGGCTATATCTAGACTGCAACTTACCATGCTTTGTATCAGAACTTTAATCACACTATTCTACTTCAAGAATGCTACATCACCCCTAACCAGAAGTAGCGCAGCATGGTACTGCTCAGTGGGCATGTCTACACTAGATGCTTACTGTACAGAAACCTAATAACACTGTGCAGTAGCGTGCTGGGCAAAAACCATGCTAATACGCTACTGGGCAGTGTTATTAGACTACTGCACAGTAAACATCAAAACCCATGTGCTGGCACTACTACGCAGTAGGACAAGTTACCGCACATTGAATTAGTACTTGGTAACCAAGTACTAAACTTAATGTCCAGTAACTAGGAAAAATTAATGAACATGTAGACGTGCCCAATGTCAATGTGCTCCCAGCACCACGTGGACATGGGTACACTACATCTTACTAGTAAAGGATGTGGGTGGTTGCACAGATGCAAGAGAGCAGTGTGGTTGAGGGTGCTGATGCTACATGTGCAGTCTGGACGTGGAAAATCATCTATCACAGACACTGGAAATTCGTGAGCATATCAGGACATAAACATACCTTAATTTTACTGGCTGTGTCAAGTCAAATGTTACTTGTGTTTATTTTGCATTATTTTTTTCTGCTCTGGTATTTAATCAGTTGAAGCTATTAGTCTTTCTGCAAATCTATAAGGATATTTTGCAACTGATTTTAATTATGACTGCCTTTTGGACAAAACAGCTGAAAAGCCTGCATGCATGGATTTGTAATAGAAGTGCTGCCAAAAATAGTTTTCAAGACACCTAAAAGGGACATATAGAATCATCATCCACTCACAGTTTCTAAATCTAGACATTCCAGGTTGAAATAAATATATTATATTAAAATACCAATTAAAAGTAAGTTACTGCTGTATTTACTCATGTGAAGAAAAACTAAAGCTTAAACAGTAATTTTCTCCTAAGTAAAATACTTCTTTGTGCATAAGGCCCAAATTAGCAACAAAATTCCCCAAATATATTTAGAATAACATATACATCATTATGTTAAGTTTGCAACACAAGAAACAGTTATACAAAATGGCTGGCTGTTCTTGCTGATATTAAGAGTTTGTAAAATGATTTTTAAAAGCGAAGCTACTTGGAAAGATAAAGTTTAGTATTACAAAGGTGGAGAAAAGGCAGTAACTTTTTATTTTGATACTTAAGTTTATGCTTAATATAAAACACTTATTTTTTAAATTAATCCTTACATAGGCATGTCTCAAAACTGAATGATTTTACACAGCAGTAATCTGATATATTTTTACTTGGGGGGATTAAAATAATAGAAATAATATAAACAAACTGCAAGAAAAAAATCTAGTAAGAGCACTTCAAAACAGGCAAAAGATTAAAACTGCAAAAACAGAAGTTAAGTACCATCTTGTTAAGGATTCAGGATAAGTAAGTATATATTTAGAGAGACTATCATTCTGAATGAACAACACAGCAAGATAAAAAGGAATAATGATCTATTGGAGAAGCCTCCAATTATCAGATGCTTTTGTAATTATGTATTATTCAAAGCATAATGTATATTTATGATTTCAAAATAAATTTTTAACAGTTGCAGGATGCAAAAGTTAGGCTCAGGAGTATGTCTGACTGGGACTGGTATACAAAAACTGCATTGCAATGCAGCATCCAGATTTAAAAATGGACTGAAGAATACGTTTACCCTTTGCTGCTCTTTTATGAAGAATGAAGTTGACATCAAGTTTTCGTCCAACCCTATACAGATTATTTAGCAACAAAAAGATAACATTGCCTTATCAAAACAAGAGCCAGGACAACCAAAACTTGTAAAGGATGAAATTGCCAGTTCTGGTCCAGCCCCTTTATGTCAGGTATTAGGGTAAGACAGCCATGAAAGACCTAGAATCTAGGGCTGCGCAAAGTTTCGGGTGCTGATTAGATTCGGAGATTCGGCTTGATTCAGCAGCCAAATCTCTGAATCGAATCGGGACCAATTAAAAGGTCCGAACCAATCCAGAAAAGATTCAGAGAGCTTCAGTGATTCAGGCAGTCCCCAGCTGGCTGCAGCAGGGAGCTGGACCTGGACTCCATACTGGGAAGTAGGGAGTGGGGGGCTGGAGAAAGGGGCACTTTGAAAAAAAAGCCCAGTACTCACTGGCTCCTGCCCGGCAGGGGGTGATCATCGCTGCCCCCCACTGCCCCACGCCATGGGGGGGCTCTGCCCCGAGGCCCCCGACCCCTGCCCGCTCTCCCAGCCCCCCCGCCCATGGCTGCCTTGCCCAGCCCCACCTCCTGGTTGTTTAAAAAAAGCCCCTACTCACCAGGTGCTGCCAGGCAGGGGTTGATCCCCGCTGCCCCCTCTGCCACAAGCCCCCTGTCCCCCACCCGATCTTCCAGACCCCCATGGCTGCCCGGCCTGCCTCAGCTCCAGGCCCTTTAAAAAAAACAAACAAACAAAACCCCTGCACTCACTGGATGCTGCAGCAGCCTCAGAGCTTTTGGGGGCTAATGGAAGAGCCCCCCCCCCCC